CACGGGCGGCTCGTCTTGCCCCGCGGTGGGATCATGCGCTGTCGACGCTCCCTGTCTGCTGCCGCGCGGCCTGCTCGGCCGGTGCCGGCACCAACGACCCACCTCCCCAGCGGCTGTCTCCGGTCAGCCGGCGCCGGTCGGTCGGCTCTGTCTCCTCGGCCGGTGCCGGCACCCACGGCCCACCTCCCCAGCGGCCGTCTCCGGTCAGCCGGCGCCGGTCGGCTCTGTCTCCTCGGCCGGTGCCGGCGCCCATGGCCCTCCTCCCCAGCGGCCGTCTCCGGTCAGCCGGCGCCGGCCGGTCGGCTCTGTCTCCTCGGCCGGTGCCGGCACCCACGGCCCACCTCCCCAGCGGCCGTCTCCGGTCAGCCGGCGCCGGCCGGGCTGCGGTCAGCCGGCTCGGTCGCCGAGTCGTGACGGCCTGGTCCCGCGCCGAATCATCAGCCGCAGCCGACGCATTGTCTCGAGCGTGCGCCCCAGCCGCGGCCCGAAGCCGAGCCACGGCCGGCACTGGACTAACGGGCTCGCCCAGGCCCGCGGAGGCGGATTTCACATTGTCTCCGGATTTCTTGCTGTGCGGTGTTGCGCCGAGCGGGGTCGCGGTAATTGTCCGTTTGTTGATCAGGGTTGGATGCAGCCGGCTGGAACAAGGTTTGCAAACGCCAGCAGGAACTCCTGGTGGCGAGAAAACGGGACAAGAACAGGCAAACACTGCAATCTGAAAAGTGCCTTCCTGTTAAATGAAGCACGAAAAAACAGTTTGCTGTACGATGAGTGCGGCACCAGTTCGGTATTGTCGGTTTCTGTCACATGTATCGACTCCATTTTCAGTGTTAAATTGCTTCTTAATAAACAGAAAGTCTGGGTCAGTTGTGATGATGCATTTGGACTCCGTTACCTATTAATTCCACTGCTGCAGATTGGATCCATGCCTCCTAACGACGGTGCGTACAGCTCAACTTCTGGGCGACAGAAGCAGCGGTGCGCTGTGTAGGAAATATGCATGGGTCGCTGTCATGGGCGAAGGGTTATGATAGATGCCTGTTGTAGCAACCATCATATATTTTGGTCACACCACTGTGATTACCAGGCTGCTGCTGCCATTGGCTTTTGGCCATAAAGAAAGCAAGGTTATTACGAATTTAATGATAAGCGATGAGAAAAGGACAATCTTTGCTGTTTTTTTTTCCAGTTTCGGCGAGTTTGTGGCGGCATAAACCTGTAAAACCAGACTGTGAAAAATTAGTTTCGGGCGGCTGAAATGATATCCCTATTGGTAACCTACGTGTGCTCTCTGGCCGGCGCCCATGGCTTCGACATGTTACTCGTAGCTCGTGCTCAATCCGTCCCTGTCCCAAGGGGCACTGACTCCAGAATGGCTCGGTGTCCTCGTGCCGACCCAGCTGTCGCCAGCCGCGCTCGGGGAGGCGGCCGCGCGCGCCGCGGCCGGCCGCCCCGCCGTCTGACAGACCCGGCTGGCTGCGGCAGCGGCTTATTCAGCTCGGGGCTGTTATTGAAGCCGCCCGGGGCCTTAGGCCGCACGCTATGCTGAGCGTGTCCTGCTGGGCCAGCACACAACGCTGGACGCTGGCGGAGCCTCGTCGCCGGGCGCCGCTGGACCCCAGGGGAATGCTGATCACTTAGGACGGTGTTGTCGCCTGCCGCCGTTGTATTCACAGCCTAGATGATTCGCTTGTTTACGCACGGCATCGTCACCACGCGATATCCTGGCTCGTTTGTTTTTCGATGCTGGATCCGAATGGCCACCGGAGGGTTGCAGGCGTTCAAAAGCCCACGCGTGGGTTGTGTGTTACTTGCTGATGGTCTAGCAGATTGTGCCGTTCCCCGGAGCTCTGCGCCGCTGCGGTGACCGGGCCGAGCCGGCGCGGTGTGTGCCGCTTTGTTAGGCGCACGCCGTGACCTGCGAGCGGGCAGCGGCGCCAGTCGGACGCTTGCCCGGATGCGGGCGGCGGCGCGGCCTGGGTAGCGCGGGGTCACGCGCCCCGCGCCGGGACCGCCGCACGCCTCCCCCGCCCCTCCCCCTCTCGTTGACCTTGATGCCGACGCAGCCGGCGGCGGCGGCGGCGCCGCGCGTCGCTCGGTCGGCGGCCGGCGCGAGCGGGTGTCGAGCCGAAGTCGAGACCGTCGCGGCCGCAGCCGCCGACGCGAGACCGAGCGCCAGCGATGACGCGAGACCGAGCGCCAGCGGTGACGTGGGACCGAGCGCCAGCGATGTCGGAACCGGCCAGTATTGCCCGCGACACGCCGCCTGAAGGATTTGCGTACCCGCTGGGGAGGAAAACACCTGGGCCGGCTGGGAAACTGATCCGAATCAGCGACTTGCCGCCGGGCCGTGTCGGAGCGAGCGCGGGTCAGCTTTCCTTGCCGTGGCGTCGGGCGCGTCCGGGCTGTGACGCGATGGGCCGGCGTCCGTTAGCGGGGGCAGCCGCCTGGTGGACATCAGTCCGAGCCATGTGTCCGGCCGCTTTGCGTCCGTTCAAAACCGTTCCGGGAATCCAAATCCGGCCAGCCGGTCTGCTGCCATTTGTCCCAGTCGGTGTCGGGGCTGGACTTGTGCGGTGCTCTCGGCGGATCGCCGGGACCGTCCGACAGGAACGGCGTCGGGATGGCTGCGTCCGAAGCGAACAAATCGCGGCTGGCCCAGACGCGGCTCGGTCATTTGGGGCTATAACCTGGCGTATTCGTCTGTCGTTGAATCGCGAGTTTTTTGTTTATATTACGCACGCCGCTGCCTTTATGCGTATGTCGTGCCCGTTGCCGGATGTCCGGCTGTTTGACCTGACCTGACCCTGACCCGTCTGAGCTGTCCCGCCGCTGTGAGTCGGCTCAGCGGCCTCTGACCTCCCTCGGCGCCGCCCTCAGGGTCTGTGAAGCCGTCCGGCGGTGGCGGCGGCGGCGGAGGACGAGGGGGCGGCGGCGGAGGACGAGGCGGCGGCGGCGCCGCGCCCACCGTCAACGGCGGCGGCCCGCCCGGCCTGGGCGGCCTGTTTCGCCGGCGGCGTGCCCAAGCTGCGGCCCACCGGCCTCGGCCGCGGCCGCCAGCAGCCCGGTGGGTGTGGCCCCTGACCCCGCGCGGCCGGGCGACGGCGCCGGGCGTGGCCGGCTCCGCTGCTGGCCGGCGGCCGTCCGCCGGCAGCGCCGCTCTGCTGAGCTGGAAGCTCCAGCCGGGCCACAGCGGTCCCCGCCGCCCGGCGGTCGACTAACACGATGATGATGTGCGGTGCTTACGAGTCGTGATGCTCTGTTTACGGATCATTCCAGGGTCGAGAGTCAGCGGGTGTGTTAAATGTGAATTTCTGGGCTCGTTTCGAGGACCGGAAAACGCGATAATAGGCCTCGTTGCCAGACGTTAACTCGTATGCCGGACCGGAAGAATCAACATTTAAAGGCGTTTTGCGTGCACCAACGGCCGTTTTGCAGTGCCCCCATGCCAGGGGTGGAGCGGGCCGACTATGCTGCCGGCTGGCGTGTTTACGCCGGGCGCGTGGGCGGCCGTGGCGCCGTGGCTGTGTGCGGCGGGCGTCAGACGCCAGGCCCTGACGCGACCGCTCGTGCTCTCGTCACCAGGCGCCGGCGGCCCGGCCATGGTTCCGCCCAACCGGCGGCCGTCGAACCCGACGGTGCCGGCCGCCGCGCCGGCCGCCGCGCCGCCGCCGCCGCGGCAGGCGCCGCCGCTAGCCACGCCCAACTCGTCCAGCCTGCACCGCACGCTGCAGGCGCCGCCGCCGCCGCCGCCCGGCCTCAAGCCCAGCGCGTCGGCCGGCCAGCTGCCCAGCAGGAGCGTGCCCAGCAGTCCGCAGGTGGGCCGCTGGCCGCTGAGCCGGTGACTGGTGACCGGGTCCGCCGGGTGTTGGATGCTGGCCCGCCGCGGCCGACACGGGACTCGGCTGCCATGAACTAGAGTTAGCTAGTCGCATTTTGTCTGCGCTCGTTATACGTAGTGCACGGTGTGGTTCTCTTTGCTCATGCTCGGTTTTGTGCTGTGACGCTGTGCCGGATGCCATTTCGTTGACGGCTCTCGGGTTACGCATTGTGTACATTGCTCGCCGCAGTTCGCTTGCTTGCTGTGACTGACCAACCGAACTCCGTGACCTGGCTTCCTCCGGTCGCCACCGCTTCCGCCCTGTCCTGCTGCTGTCCTCTGCCCTCCGCTCCTGTCCGAGGGGCCACCGCCGCGGCGTCTGCCGCCTCAGATGGTAAGGGAGGCCCCCTAGTCCTGCTACCGGCCGCTGTTGCCCCGGTCCCGCCCGGTCGCCCGCCTCCGCTGCCAGCCCCGCCAGCGGCGCCGCGCCGGCCCGCCAGCTGACCGCCCGCCGCCCGCCCGCAGCCCGGCCAGCGGGTCGCCCTCAAGCCGAGCCACTCGTCGTCGACGCTGCGCCGGGAAGCGCCGCAGGCGCCGCCGGCCGCCGGCCGGTCCTACCTGGTCTGTACACGTCCGCCATGCGGCCTGCTCTGGCAGCTTGTGCCGCCGTTGGGTGTGTGCTCCGTCGAAGCGGTTGTTGGTGTGGCGGTGGCGGTGTGTGACGCGGCGGCGCGGGGAGAGAGGTGGCGGCGCGTCTGACGGTCTGGCCCGCCGACAGGTGTCCAACGGCACGGCGACGGTGGGGCGCAAGTTTACCGCGCCCGCCGTGCGGCCGGCGCTCAACCCGAGGCCGGCGGTGGCGCCGCTGCGGCCGCCCGCCATCAAGCCGCCGCCGCCGCCCAAGTCGCCGTCCGTGCAGGGCCTGGGCAGCGGGCCGCCCAGCCTGCCCGGCCAGCCGCCGCCGCCTCCGCCGCCGCCCGGCGCCAAGCCGCCGCACGTGGTGCGCGCGCACAGCATGCGCGCACGCGGCAATCTCTCCGAGGACGAGGAGAAGCGCAAGTCGCAGGACGACATGCGGCTGGGCGGCACGCTGCGGACGGCGCCGCCGCCGCCGCCGCCGCCGCCGGCCGGCACGCAGCGCGCGCCCGGCCGCGGGCCGCTGCGCGCGCCCTCGGAGCGGCCGCCGCCGCCGCCGGGCCGCGCGCTGCCGCCGTCGCAGCCGCCGCCGCCGGTGCCGACGTCGGCGCCGCCGCTGCCGCCGCACCGGGCCGGCCCGCCGCCGCCACCGTCCCAGGTGCGGCAGGGCGGACAGGTGAGTGACGCTCTACGGTGCTCGCCGCGCGGCCCGACCGGCAGCCGGCGGGGCGGTCCGCGTGCTGTCTTCGCGGATCCTGCGCGGGTGCAGTGGCGGCGCTGCCGGCAGCCGCCGCCTGCCCGGTGCTGTGGCACTCGCGGGTACCTCGATGTGGTCCTGGTAACTGTGGAGCTCTGTTCGATGTCTTAGGTTAGACTGTGGCGTGTTCTGTCCCAGCCGCCGCCGCCGAGACTCAGGCTGTGACGTGTGTTACAGGCGCAGGCGCCGCCCCCCGCGCCGCCGCCGCCGGGACTCAGGCTGTGACGTGTGTTACAGGCGCAGGCGCCGCCCCCCGCGCCGCCGCCGCCGGGACTCAGGCTGTGACGTGTGTTACAGGCGCAGGCGCCGCCCCCCGCGCCGCCGCCGCCGAGACTCAGGCTGTGACGTGTGTTACAGGCGCAGGCGCCGCCCCCTGCGCCGCCGCCGCCGCCGCCGCCGCCGCCGCCGCCGCCGCCGCCCCCGCACGCGTCCGGCGCGCCGCCGCCGCCGCCGCAGCGACTCTCGTCCTCGGCCCAGCACCGGAACTCGTTCAACGCCAACTCTGGCGCCACAGGTGAGGCTGGCTCTCGGCACGCCAGACCAGCCCGAATGGCCTGTTCTTGCGCACCATCGGAGGCTCGGAGAGGATGGCCATTGGTCTCATACATTTGGTAGAAGCTTGCTTATTTATTGGCCATACGTCGCGGGGATTGCCGCTCGAAATGTCAGTTTCTATTTCTGCTACGGAAGGATTAAGTTGACCCGCCCGAAAATGGCATTTTCAAGGTTGCAAGTCCTTGTGCTCGCAGCTCCGCCGGTGGCGGGGCTCCCGGCGGGTCGCTTCACGCCGTCAGAGGCCCCTCGGTTAGCTCGCGACCAGTGGTTGCGAATTTGAGGCATGCGGCAATCGCGCCTGGTTGCCGTTTAAGTCAACTTATCACAGCTGCCCAGTGGTGGTCGTAAGGTCACGTACGCGTTTCGCTGAGCTCACAGACGGCGAGCGACCGTGCGGCAGGGCGATTGCACGGGTCAGCGAGCGCGCCCTTTGCACGCTACGTAGTTGATAGGTGTATTTTAAGCTCAAGACATGTCTCATGATAACACCACGGTCAGGACGGAATGGCTGCTGGCCTGAGGCACGCAGCGTGCCGAATTGGGAAACGGGACTCAGCATGACGAACGCGACATGCTTTTGCCGTTGAGACGGCAGCACAGTCGCATGTCACCGTGTTTTTATCACAGACCCCGCATCCTTCCCCCGTGTAAACACGGTGTGCTGGTGTCGGCCGGCCGGTCGCCAGCGCCGCCGAGCCTCACCGACGCTCGCGGGAATCTGATGCTGACCGCGACCGCTGCGTTCGCAGACTACGAGCGACGGTTCTCCGACCGGTTCCACAGCCTGTCGCAGCTGCCGCCGCCCGAGCCGCTCACAAACTGCTACAAAATCTACCCCAGCAAGAACCGTGAGTGCACGCTCGTGCGGCGCGGCCGACCGGTGCGCTCCGACGCGGGGGAGTCAGAGACGCGAGGTCAGCTCCCTCCAGGTGTCCGTCACCTGTCGTCGCGACCGCCTGCCGCGGGCCGCTGGCGAACCCCGCGATCTGTGACGCGATCCGGCCGCCTGAGTCAGCGGCGCCCGTATTTGGCGGCCTTCCGTACGGGGCCGGGAGGTGTGGGGCGGGCGCGGCGGGTCGCGCGGGACCGGTGGCACGAGCCGGGTCTGGCCGAGGCGAGCGCTGACTCAGCCCGGTACCATGAGCCGCGCGGCGCGCCAGATGCCGACCGACGCGCCGAACGGGCCAGGCGGGAGTCCTCTCCCTCCGGAACGTCCGCACTGTCGTGTGTGTGTATACATCCCGCGGCCTTCTGGGCGCGGGGAGACATGAGCTGGCGTGCTCGTTTCTAGGAATCAGTGTGCCCCGTCTTGTGAGTTGTGTTGACCGGGGCTCGTAGCGCTTGTGTGTGGACGTCGCGGGGACTGTTGAGCCGGCGTCGCGAATCACCGGCGCCGTCGTCGTGGCCTGGAGCGGCCGCCGGCACTCCCGCGTTCCGCGCGGTGCCCGTCTGCCGGCGCTCGTCCGTGCTCGTGTCCCCTTGTATGACGGCGCCCGTCCGCGCGCCGCTAGGTTTTGTGGGCGAGGTGTTGCTGCCGGGCCTGGCCAGCGGCGGCCTCTGCCGCTCCCAGTCACACCAGGTACCGGCGGCGGCCGCGGCGCGGCGCGGCGTGGCGTGGCGCGGCGTGACTGACCCCGGCTGGCGCTAACCCACGGCTGGCGCGCGGCCAGGCGCCGTGCACGCGGTCCGCGCTCGGCCGGCCGGCGGACGACCGGCGCCGGCGGGCCGGACCTAGCGGCGAGAGACACTGCTCCGGATGGGCGCGAGGCAGCGCGCGGAAGGCGAGCGCGGCCGCGTGGCACCGACACTAACACGGCCTCGCTCCGCGGGCCGGGCGGGGCCGGCTGGCGGTCTGCTACTGGGTCGGCCGGCCGGCGGTGGCGCCACCGGCGCCGACGGAATCGGCGGCCGGGCCGCGCCGTCCAGGTGGCGCCACCGCCGACGCTGTGACTAACGCGACGGCCGCTACGACCGCGCTGGATGACGTCCGCCGACCGCCTTCCGCCGTTTTGGTACCGGTGCCGTGGCTCCTTTTGTGTGCGCGTGACTCTTTATTTTTGGTCATCGCAACTGGAGTTTTGTTCTTACTCTCCTGCTGTGTCGCACCGCCTCTCCGTGTCCCTTGTCGATCTCCCATCCAGTTCTTATACCATTCACGGCGCCTTCGCTGTTGCTCCTCGATCCTTCCCCGTATTTCCCGATGCCATCGCTACCTCTCGTTCTCCCCGCGTTCACCTCATTTTTGCGTTCCTTGTCCGCCCTCCCTCGCTCTGTGCATGTCGTCCTTTCTTCCTCTCCGTGTCTCGTTTTTCCTCTTCCTCCTGTGCCCTTCATCTGCACCTTGCTTCCTCCCCTCCCTGGGCCTTCATGCCGTCTTCTCCCCGCGTCCCGTCGTATCTCTCCCCTCAATCCCAGCCGGCCCGACATCCGCACCGCGGCATCATAACCCCTGGCGGCGGTCTGAGCGCCATCTAGATGTGTTGCGATGATCCGCTCGCTGGATTTGTCGAGTGGTCCGCATGACGGCGTTCTCGTTCAGCACGTTCTCGCCGTGTATCGTGGATGCTTGGTGACATACCGTGTTGTTGGATACCGTGATTGCCCCGAGTCTGCGTCCCTGGTACAGCACGGATAATTGGAAAGAAAGTGCGCTGAGCTAGCTGGGTGCTCCGTGAGCATATGTTTCGGTTGTGTGTGGTGCGGTGGGCGGTCCTGTCCGCCTGTGCGATGGGCGGTCCTGTCCGCTTGTGCCATGCGGCGCGTGTCTGCAGCACTGCCACGCGCCGCCAAGCGGTAGACCGCGGCCGGATCATTCACTGCCCGGCGCTGTCGCCCCGCCGTATCGGTGCGTCGCTGCTCTGTGCCGCCCCGTCACCGGGCGTCCCGCGTGCTGACCCCCCCCCCCCCCCGCCGTATAGGTGCGTCGCTGCTCTGTGCCGCCCCGTCACCGGGCGTCCCGCGTGCTGACCCCCCCCCCCCCCTGCCGTATCGGCGCGTCGCTGCTCTGTGCCGCCCCGTCACCGGGCGTCCCGCGTGCTGACCCTCCCCCCTCCCCCCCCCCCCCCCCGCCTTGTCCGGCCCGGCTGACGTCGCCCCCCCCCCTCCCCCCGCTTTTCAGAGCGTCCCCGCAACAAGCGTCCCCCCGCTCCGCCCCCGCCGCCGACGCAAGTCCAACTCGGCCACAAACTGTTACGAGAGCGGCGGCTCGTCCTACGCCTGAGGCCCCTGACGGCGACCGTGGAGCTGCCTGGCGGACGAGCGCGGAACTTCGCCGCGGAGGCGGTGTCAGAGGCCGCCGCCTGCGGGCGGTGGCGAGTGTGAGTCACGTGCTATGCAATCGAAACGGGCGTCTTAGTAATAATGCGGCGCTGTTGTTGTTGGTGTCGATTTACGACTGCTGGCATCGCTAGTAGGTGGACGCATGGGTTACACGTTCAGTCCCGGGCGCACCCTGTTAACTTCACTGCTGGCGAGGCCGTAGCACCGAGCACGGTTCACCGGGGTGCGGAGCTGGTCGAGGGGGTCAACATCCGGCGGTCGGCCGCCGGCGGGCGAGACGCCGGCTGTCGTCGCTGCGCGGCCGGTCGGGCGGCCGGGCCGATCCCGTCTGTGATCACGTGCAGCACAAAGCGGTGTGGCGCGGCGTGCGTGCGCCCGTGCTGCCACGCCCGGGGCGGAGTGTGGGCCTGCGTCGCCCGCCGCCCCGGCTCAGCCAGCAGCGAGGGATGACGCCCGGGCCCCTGCTCGGGGCAGCCAGCCGGTCGGCTAGCTCGGGAGCGGCGCCGCGACGAGCCAGCGGCGTCTGTTTTTGTGACTCGTCGGCTGGTGCGCGCCCCCGCTTTTTGGGCGGCCGCCGATCCGGCGCGTACCGCGTGGTCCGGAGGGCGGCGGCCGGCGCCGGCTCTGCAGAGCGCGTGACGGCCGGGCGCGCCCCGCCGCCTGCCCGCGGTCGAGTCTCGCGTGAGCTCGAAGGTCGGTGGGACGCCCGCCAGCGGGACGCGCCCGTCAGGCCCCGCAGGACGCGGCCAGCGGCCCGACAGCGGGACCGGCGCGGGGCTCGTCACTCTGCAGGGACCGGCGGCGCGCCGCCGCCCGTGTCGGGATTGGTTCGCCTAACGCCTCGTCTCAAAGTCACAATCTTCGGACGCCGATATGCGGCGCACGCGGAGCGCGGCGCACGGGCGCTTCAGGGTGCGTTGGGCACGCCTGTGACGGACGCGGCAGTGTGCACGCGTCGGGGGTGGCGCCGCGTCGGCCGGCGCGTGAGGGTGGGGGCGGACGCCGAGCGCTCGCCGCGTGTGACGATTGGCCCCCGGCCAAGGCCGGCGCCGTTTGGTAACGTTTTAGTGAGACATAGTTTTGGTAGATATGCCGCTATCGATATCGATAGCGACTGTGTAAATAAGAAAATAATGCATTGTTAATATATAAATATACATATTCGTCCCTGAGGCGCTTCGCAGCAGTTGTGTGATGTGTGGATGATGTGGCCTGGGTCGTGACGAACAGCGTAGCCGACCTCAGTTCAAAAGGCTGGAGGTTGAAAACTGAGCAAGAGATGGGCCTTCAGGTCTTCAAATGAAGTTGCTGAAGAATCTGCCGCTGGCTCACTTACGGTACTAGCTTCTGTCATCCACATGACCGCGTTTTTGCCAGCGCTGACAGCGGAGGTTCATCAAAGACTACGTTGCCACGTAAATCGTCCTACGCTGGAGATACGCAGACGCCTTCGGTGGGGTGGCCGTCACAGGCTAGGGACATCACGACGGGTAATTGCGCGCTTTCGCCGAGGAAGTTTCAGTTGACGACTGGGTCAATTCTGTTTATGGTGTCACTTCCCGTCACGCGGCGCGATACATTGGAACGTGGCGTTATTCACTGGCGGGGGCCAGTTCTGTCACTGGTGGGCGTCAATATTTCGGACTGTGCTGGAGCCCGTTCGTGCGCTTTCCCCATCCGGTGCCACCGTGTCGCGCCATCGACACGGTGGTGACGGATGTACCCCCAGTCCTGCGATGTGCTCCCGGCCGCGTCCCTGCCAGTACAATGCGCAGACCTCCGAGTTATTGTGTCGTCCGTGGCTTTCCTAACCCCAGGAGATCGAAATTTGTTCATCTATTGCGCCTCAGCATACATTGGGTATTATTGCATTACACCCGTCATGTTTTCGCGTGCTGCCAGAATAACTGTTGTGGTATGAATCACCGAGCCCAGTGGGCCCACGCCACCACGCGTATCTGTTCCACACCTGCGTCACCGCAGTTCACTGAACATAGTGTGGTCTGGCCGGACATACAGTGGTCGTTTGGGCAGATGTCACTCACAACTGCCGCGTTACGTACAGCCCGTGCGGCCCCATTACTTGTTCGTGTGGAATCGTTCCACTTAGCGAACGTGGGTATGATGAACTGTCCCACACCCGTGCCAGAGGCTGCAAGTAACGCTAAGCAATAACCCAACCGAAGCTCCGCCTCTTATTGCAGCGCACCGAAGCTTGTGAATTTCTCAGAGATGAGCCGAATCTCAATGTCTATGATCATATCGCGCTTTGTGTTTAGACCGGTCTTCCATTCTTTATAACACTTTATTGTATCCTGCGGTTTCTCGAATGCGTTTGGAGACGACCAGGGCACACGGCTTGTAATTGAGGCTGGAATCCATTTCTCATAACTACATTCGACACGCTCATGTGCGCGGACTGGTTGTCCACCTCGCACAAACAGCCGTATCATTCGTTGCAATATATTCATTATGGCTTGGCGCATATACGTTGCAATAACACTAGATTAGTGATTGTATAACAGAGTTACAGGACAACGCGGAGGCGGGCCAGGCGGCGAGGTCGGGTCAGGCCGGTCAGGACAGGAGCAGTCGCCGTCCCCGCAGCCCGGCTCCATACACCTCATCAACACCCGCACGGGGGCGATCAACTGGCTAAACAGGTATCACATAAACCTAAGTACAGGCGGAAGGCTGTGGGCTGACGCCGGCATGCGAGTGCGGGCAGACTCCGGCAGAGCATTATGCGTAACAAGGGGCGGTGGCCGACGCAGGGGAAGGGGCGCCGTCTGCGCCGGCGACCGCATGGCGGCCGCCGGGGAGGAGAGCGACGCGTCGCAGCGCGGCCGCAGCCGGCCGGCACACGCGGGACATTATGCACGCGCTCACAGCAGCATCTCCGTGGACAGAGCGTGGACACGCGTTTCCGGGTCCGGGCACTTGCAGGCATGACTACAGCGGGATAACTAGCGAGTCTAGGCACTGGTCGAGTCGGGTGGGGTGGGGCGGCGCGGCGCGTGCCGCCGTCTGTGAGCGGCTTCGACGGCGAACGGCGCTGGCGCGCCAGCTCGCTTGCGCGACAGGCGCGAGCGGAGGGCGTCATGGCCTCCGCCGGCCCGCCGTCTGCTGGCCACGGTGAGACGTCACAGGCCGCCCGCGCTCAGCTAATCAGAGTCGGAGGCTCGCGAGCAGGACGCGCCGGCGACCAATCAAAGTCGCCGGTTGGTCAGTCGGGCTCCGCGTCAGCCAGCGGTGTGTCGCCAGCTCAGCATCACGCTACATTGCACTTGGTCACGTCTGAAAGAAGCAGCGGGCCTGCGCTGTAACCTCCAGCCGCCACCGCCACGGCCAGGATTCAGACTTTTTAGTCGCTCGGTGACGAGATAATGTTATGAGACGGCATGCAGGGCTCAGCCTGCTGTCCATAGTCAGTCATGCGCTCGATTACAGAAGATGCAGGAGAGCTCCCTCCATATCGAAGCTCCATGTAACCCATTACAATGTCATGAGATTTCGTTAATCTACCACGGCTCTGTCGGGTATCCATGCCGTCAGGACGCTGCAGCGATGTCCGCCGGCGATGCGTCAAACCTACGAGATCTTCCGCTGATGTTTCGCGTCTTACCTCAGGGCCGAACGCTGCGCATCTTCTTGAGCCCGCCGTGCTCTCGAATGGCGATCATCAGCTCCTCGCGCGGGTCCAGTTTGGGCACGGCCGGCCGGCTGGCCGACGTCTTGTTCAGTCTGGTTCGCCCGTTGGCCGCTGGAGGCAGCACTGGCGCAGGTGGCGGTGGAGGCGGTGGAATCACCGCCGAGGCGGGCACGTCGGCAGAGCGGAACCCTGCGCAGCCGGACACATCGTCACGGCGCTGCGCATTCTGTGATCTCCACGTGCTCACACGACCTCCTGCCTGGAGGCTGAGCAGTCCTTAGCTAGATCTTCACATAAAAATTAAACGAATCAGCGTGGTATTCCACGAACGCAGCCTCCGACACGAAGCCCTAAATTCAAGAAATACGCTGTCTGGCTGTGAAAAAGGACGGCAAGTTCAGAGCTGCACACATGTGCACTACGATCCTCCTTGGACCACAGTGGCGGCGTCCCCTTCGCAACGCAGCGCCCGTCATCCGCGTGGGACTGACCTTTAACCACGGGCTGCTGCCGGCTCCTCCACCCGGCGTCGGCGGTCATCTGGCGCGACGCGGCCTCGGTCGTGGTGGCTGAGTCCTTGCGCGTCACGCTGACCACGCTGGGGGCGGTCTTCTGCGCCGGTGTGACGCGACAGGTGACAGCGCCCTGCCGACCGACCGTCGGCTGCGCCGGCCGCGGCGCCGGCAGCACCACGGCCGGCGGCGGCGGCGGCGTCTGGCCGGCGGCCGGCTTCGACACGCGCACAGACACGGCGTGGGGCGCGCGCGGCTCGTCCGTCAGCGAGACGACCGAGGTGAAGCGACCCGGCCGCGGCCGCCGCTCCGCCGCCGGCGCCGCCTTCGAGTCGGTGATCGAGAAGGCCGGCGCGCGCGAGCTGCGCGCCGCCGCCGCCAGGGGCAGCACCGCCCGCGGCTCGGCCACGGTCGTGTTCTGACGCACCTTGGCCACGGCCGACAGTCGCGGCGGGCCGCTACCGTTAGTTTGGCCGCGCGGCGCTGCCAGGCTGACGGGCGGCGGCGGCGGCGGAGGCGCGCCCAGAGCAGTCACCGTGACGCCGTTGGCCGGCCGCAGCGGCAGGCCGGAGACGGCGGCGGCAGGCGCCGTCTGGCGCAGCACGTAGTCGCTGTCTTCCTTCAGCTGCACCTGGCTCGGTCGGCCCTGGTCCTTCCAGGCGCCCAGCGCAATCTTCGGAGGCGAGAACGGTACCCGCTTCTCCCTGCGGCAGATGTGAACATTCCCAGTGGCCGGGATATGTTCAGGGCCACTGCGTGCCTTATGCGCCGCAACAGTGGGCTGTTGACTGGGTCACAAGATTTAGCGTTAAAAGCACTGCTGTTCGTAAACGAAAGACGATATTCCTTAACGTTGCCAAACAGCAGCATGTGTCGCTTAGGACATCCTTCCGACGACGAATATCATCCCTGCGTGCATTATCGACCCTCAGTATCGCTCCTGGCGTTCTGACCTGCTCTCAGAGGTGCCCCGCTCGAGAGTAGAGGCTCGTTCTCTGACCGGAGTCGGAGCCGGAGCTGAGGTCTCGGCCGAGACCGGGGCCGGGACCGGCGCTGAAGCCGCGGCTACAGGCGGCACTGGGGCTGGAGCCGCGGCTACAGCCGGGGCCGGGGCCAGGACCGGGCCTGGGGTCGACTCCAGCTCCGGCACCGGCTCCGTCGCTGCCTCCGGCTCCGGCTCCGGCGCAGTCCGCGGCTCCGGCTCCGGCTCCGGCCGCGGCACCGACAGCTTGCTGTGCTTCAGGGAGGTGGCCCGCGGCAGAGACTGGGAGCGGCTGGAGTAGTGGGCGGCGGCCGGCGCTGGCTCGGCCGGCACCAGCAACCGCGGCGCGCGCCGGTTCAGCTCCTCTATCACCTGGCAGCGGGGCGGCGGCGCGTGAGCCAGACACCCACGCCGAGTCACTGCGCGTGACGCGCTCCCCGCTGAAACCCCGCGGACGACACAACAGGTCGGCAGCGGTCAGCATCTGAAGTTCCGCGGTGCCCTTTCGTAGAAGACAGGGGTCTTCATCTCCCACCATGACAGCAAATGTTTGATGGTCGTAAGCCATCCGTGGTTGCACGGCTTTTGTACCAGACTGCTGTCGAGTTGCAGGCATCATGAACACAAATGGACACAAATGAAGACAAAAACTTCCTCAAAAAGGGGATATGTTCGAACGACAGTAGGTCGACAGAGATTGGTCAAAAACGTATTACGTCACACTCATCCTAAAATGCTGCCTGCATATGCTATGTACCGCTGCGCTGTATGCAAATCTCGGGCGTGGCGAGCTGGGTAAGTAAATGCGTAAAACGGAGATGCTTGTGACCATAGAACGCATTAGTTCGTTTTCCAATCACCGAAAGAAGAAAAGCCGACGGAAAAGGAAAGTAATAAAAAAAAATCAAAAGAGGGGACGGATCATCGAATCTACTGCAACCAGACCATCGTGTTACCTCAGCCAGGCGAAGAGCGCCATTTCGCTTGCCGACAGTCTCGATTCACCGGCCACCTCGCGGTAGAGAACAGGCGCACACTGTGGAAGCCGAGTACAAAGCCGAAGCCCAAGCCACCGACCGACAGCCGCCCCGCCCGGAAGCGTTAGCGCCCAAAGCCAGAGCCGATGCCACAGATCCTCGTCGGAAGGGCGCCCTCTAGGGTGGGCGCTCCTCGGTCATGCTTGCCGTGCGCACGGACGCCAGTCCAGTGTCCGTCTGCTGCGCGGCGTCATGCAGAAGGTGGTGGTGCCGGCTGAGCTGGGGCGGCCGCGTCGCCGGCGGGGCCGGGCCGCGGCGCCCCGACGCCGGCCTCGCCGGCACCGGCGGCCGCCCTACCTGCAGGCTCTGCAGGCTGGAGGCGGCCGGCCGGCCGGCCAGCGGCGCCACCTTGGCCTGCAGGATCGACTGGTTCTGCAGCAGCTGCTGCTGCCAGTGCAGGAACTGCTTCTGCAGCTTGAGGAACTCGGACTGGATGTCGCTCACCTCGCTCTCTGGAAAGAAACCGGGCTCGGCTGTTATGTAGCCAGCGGTGATTGGCTGGCTCACTGAGAACGGTCGACTCGGTGCCGTCAGTCAGGACGGGTCGGGCTGTGAGACGGGACAGTCTTACTATGCTGAAGACCAAGCGAGGTAGAAAAGTGGACTACGATAATACTTAGCGTGAATAATGGATTCTTACACGGTCAGCAAACGAAATGAAGACGCATCTCTACGCTCTCTGTTATACAGCTAACATTTAACGCTTCGCGCTGCCCGTGGAACACCCACCTAGCGCCAGGTCCGTGTGGCTCTGGGTTTTGTTCATGTTCGGCCATGCGCTTCCGGCTGGTAACGACAGCCCTCCACTTAGGTTCATCATTGAGCATGATTTAGAGCTGTTAAACTTCGTCTGAAACGGAAGGCAAGAGATCTCTCACGAACGCATCATCGTTATCACGGTGAGTCGGTGGCAATCTTGACGGGAAAATCTTGATGGGCTCGCAATTCGGAAGAAAAGTGATCCACTCGGGTAATTTACACAGACCAATGACGTTCATGCTCCCATCGAATGAAGATACTGTGCAAGGCCCACGTTCCAACGAGTCAAAGAAGATATCACAAGCAGATTACGCCGGCACCGTATTAAGTGCACAGCAAACGTCAGTTAAAGGTTACGCGATGCTGTAAAAACGCCAAGAAAAGTGCGACGTTAAACACGCAGGTAAGCCACAGGTAAACGTTTGAATAGTTCACACCTAAATCATTACGCAGAAGACGCTACGTACATAAACCGCGTGACATGATGCCGACACCGTCCGTCGCACACGACAAGTTCCTCCTTAGTCCTGCTACTTCCGTTGCATGCTCAGCGGGCATGGAGACAGCGGACGCGCCGGCCACGGCGCGGCGGCTTACCTCGTATTTGCGGGGCGGCCGGACGGGCTCGCCGTGGTCCGCCGCCACCCTCGGCGGAGCCGGCGGCGCGTGACCGGCGGCGTCGGAGCTACGGCGGCGGGTCAGCGGCCGTCTGACCCCGCCGACCTCTGCGGCCGGCCCCTCGGCGCCCGAGGTCACCTACAACGCGAGGGGGAGGGGCATGTGAGCAACGCCGGTGCGGTGGCGGCCATGCCCGGGACGCTGTCGGAGCACTTCGATTGGAAATGATGCTCATAGATCGTGACAAGAATGTCCCTATTGCCCATTAAAGGCATCCTGCGGGGTCGCGCACCAACACACACGGGCTGAGCCTCGCAGAACGTTACGTGACTGACTCATACATCAGCTCTTATCAAATCAGACGTCTGATTAACAAGATCACGACCCAGCGAACCCAACTGCACGATCCATGCCGCCCGTTAGTGTTGCTCCCTGCACGGGCTGCGTGCAGCAGGGAGTCCACATGCGCCACCCTCGCACGCCAGCCATTCAACAAGGCCGTCCACGCCCGGAGAACAGACTGCGGGTGGCAAGACGACCCGGTCCGACCCGAGGCGCCGCCCTGTCCCGAGTGCGCACCTGAGGTGGGGAGCCAGACGCGCCGGCCGCGCTGCGCTGGTAGTGGAACGAGTCTGCCTTCTGCAGCCGACTGCCAGCGCCCTCCGGCGGCGGCTCGCGCTGGCCGTAGGCGCCGATCGAGAAGCTCATCTGGCGTGTCACGCTCGAGCGGCGCCGCTCCGGCTTGGCCGGCCGCCCGTCCTCCGCGGCCGGTTCTGATTGGTCGGCCGCCAGCCGCTCCGCCAGCCCGACGTTGGTGGCCTCGGCCAGCTCGCCGGCCTCGCCGCCCGAGAACTCGCTCGACGTGACCGTCATCGAGTCCTGGAACTCGAGCGGAGCCTCGAGCGGCGCGCGGCCCGGCGCCTGGTCCTGGAAGGGCGTCGGCGGGTCCGGCAGCTGGTACTCCCAGCTGGCCGACTCGCCGGCCACCCCCGCCACCGGCGCCGGCGGCGGCGGAGCGTCGCACACCAGACGAGCCGGCCGCCTGGGCAGCTGCTCGACGGACGCCAGCTTCTTTTCAATCTCAACCTGGATGTCTTTGGAGGTCATCTGAAAGCGGTGCATTGCACGCCTCAGCGGGCGAGCTTGCAGGATTGCAGCCCTTTTACAGCCAACATGGAAAGCCACGGACGAGTACAACGCAGAAGCGACGAGCACAACAAAGACCCGCTATAACTATGACACTCAACAAAAGCAAGAAATGCGACCCCAAAGCTTTCACTCAGCCCCGACAAACTCTGCGTTCACTTACCCGATTACGCTGCACTTTTTCGACCTTTTCCATGACTTCTTCCTGAGCTTCAGCAGACAAATTGTGTCCATTTTGATACACCACCTTCGCTGGAGGCATCTGTTTCACTGGTCGCGCCTTCGGAGGCAGCTCCTGCGTGTCGCGCGCTCCGTTCTGGTGGCGCCCAGCTTCCGTCTTGGGAGCCGCCGACAGGGAGGACGCCTGCGCTACCTCAGCGGCAGAGCGAACGTCTGCCACTGCCTGGCTCTCCGGCGCCGCCGACTTCTGCACGACCTCTGCAACAACAGTGGTCTCCTTATGAACCTGGACAGCGGCGGTGAGCTGCGCTGGGGACGCCGACGGTGGCTGCTCCGCCTCCGCAGGCGGCACTCCTTCGCTCCTGAGCGACCGCGCCGGCCCCGCCACCGCCGCCGCCTTCGCGACCGCCGGCAGCGTCTCCTCGACAGTCTGCAGAGTCTCCTCGACAACCTGCAGCGTCTCCTCGACGGTCTCGCTCGTCTCCGGGGGCGGGCGGCGGCTCTCTCGCGTCGTCGCCGGAAGTGTGGCCTCAGACACGGGTGGCGGAGGCGCGCACGCCAGTGCCTCGGCCGGCAGGCTGGCGGCGTCGGTGAAGGCGCTCGCCTGCGCCAGCACCTGGTCCAGGTTGTTATCCAGGCACGCCAGCGCGCTGTCCACCTCGCGCTGCAGGCGCGCCGTCTCCATGTCCTCACTGCTGACCTCTTCTGGCGCCGACAGCCTCGCCTCCACGGCCGGCAGCTCCGCCACAGCTGGTGGAGGCGGCGGCGTCGGCGTGACAACCTCGGCTGACTTATGGCGCGTTTGTGCGAACTGGGAGTCAACTTCTACAACGGGTTCTTGTGTCTTCGGGACCGCAGGTATTGTCTCACTTTGAACAGACTCCTTGACGACAGGCTGTTGCGGAGGATTTTCGGTACGCTCTGCTGGCCTGGCCGATCTCTCTAGACTGCTCTCTGGTTGGCCAACTGGTGCGATGGGCGACGGTGATTGGATGACGGTCTCCGCCGATTGGCTCGCGGGCGCAGAGGACAGCACTGCCCCTGTCCGAGACGACGGCACAGGAGTTGCATTACCATCCGTGGGTTTGTTTTCGTCTGCTGTTGTTGGGTTGGGTGCTGCTCGCTTCTGCACCAGATCGTCTGATCCCGACTGGCTTTTGCCCGCTGTCGCCGACTGCGTTCCGCCCTCAGAAACGGCCTCCGCTGCTCTAGTTTTTGCTTCTGTGACCGCCTTCAGATCGCTTACCGCGTCTGCCGTCACCGAATCTCGGCCATCGGTCGCGATCGCTGCGTCGGATTGGTCGGTGATTTCTGCCGGAGCCGCTGATTCGCTGGCGCGCTCAGCATTGGGGGACGTGGATTGGCCGACGGCGGGCACCATCGGCTGGTCTGATGACGTCAGCGTCTCGGTCGAGGCGAAGGAGTCACGGCGGGAGGACGCCTTCTTCTGAGCCTTCTCAAGCGTCGATGTCGACGATCCGGACGACGAGCTATTCTTCGGCTCAGTCTCATCGTCTGCAAATATAATGGTCCATAAGGCATTCAGACAACCGGGGACAGGGAAAAAAGCAGCCACTTATGTGGCTTGGCATGCCAGACTGGAAAACACAGTCGAGATCTAACTGGGATAAACACTATCTGGTATTGTAAAATATAAGTGTTAAAAAGAACACCATACAAGCATAAACAACGATCCGTACATTCTAAACAAGCAAGACGAAAATTTCAGTACGGCAAGTCGATCTTACGACAGTCATTCCAAACAGGAGTTCACAAACAGAGTGTTAGGCATGCAAACCCCTAACCTTGACTGTGACCCCGTGCGTCCGCCACCAGCCAGTCTAGCTTTGTGGAATTCCGCCACCGGTGGATTACGACACACTGGGGACTGTGCGCGCCCTCGTCACTGGAGTCATCTACCGGCCCGTCCGCGCACTCGCCATCGCCGTCACGGTCCCCCTCAGCACTATCGGGGCCACACGCGGACGCTGGTGCGGAGACCGCTCGCCGCACCGGCCTGTCGCAGTCCTCTCCCTTCGACGGTGACGTCACGACCTCTGGTGGCGT